TCTGGACTTCCTTTAGGATCTCCTCATGCTTCGCTTCGGGTACCCGGTAAGGGGGAACCCGTGCAACAACTCCAGGGGGTGTCTCCACGTGATGCTGTACCAAGCACGTCCGCCCCGGCAGATCTGAAAAGAGGTGACGGTTCCGGTGCAGAGCGTCTGGGCTTCCTTGACCTGGTTGTGGGGGGGGAGAGGTTTGGAGAGAGGGAAATTAGGTCCACGGAGGAAGAGGGAGTGTCGCTGGACAGTAATGCAGGGATGGCCACTTCCGACGGGGGTTCTCTCCAAGGTTTCAGGGTGTTTACGTGATATATTTTTTCCTTTTTCCAGTGGTTTGGATAGTATACATTGTAGGCGACTACCCCGGTCCGTTCGCGGATTTCGTAGGGTCCCTGCCATCTCGCGTTAAGCTTGCACTCCGGTGAGGGCAGTAGCAGCATTATGCAATCCCCAGGGCAAAAAATCCTTTTCCGGGCTGAACAGTCTTAAAACCTTTTTTGTCTTGCGCTTGCTGAAGTGTTCCTCCACTAGTGGCCTCAACTGTGCAAGCCTGTCCTGAAGGGAATGGACATAGTTGAGCACATTGTGTGAGGACAAGCGCTGAGACTTCCAAGCCTCCCGGGCGACGTCTAGGATTCCTTGGGGTTGTCACCCATATAGTAACTTGAAGGGGGAGAACCCGGTGGAGGCTTATCCCGATAGTTTTAAGTTAGATTTTGCACCTCCATATCAGGGATATGTGGTCTAGGAGAGACAAAAAGCAATACATCAAGGGCATGTGCAATATTCAGATTTGTTTGTGTAACATTAGAATGGACTAAAAAGGCACTTAACAGTCTAACATATCTGAGTAGATTATGTTTTAAAAAATGCAAATGACTTTTTTTTAAAATTATTTTCTCATTTTCAGCTTCTGATGACTAAGTTTTTTTTCTAAAATCTGTTTTCAGTCTTTACTCTTTCAGTTTAGAGCTGTGTGTTGGTAAAGGTTTTTCAAAAGCTGCTTTCACATCCACTCTTCTGCCCGTACAACAGATTCAGTTAACTGTGAAAGTTTATTTGGCTTTTTTTTAAATCAGATATTGTTTTTTATAGGCTTCCCTATCAAAATGTTTCATTGCAGTTGTCTGAAGTATTTTGCAGTACTGTCACAATATTCCACAACCAGACTCTTCTACACAGTCACAGCCCACTAGGTGACATCAGAGCATTAAGTCTTGGTGCTAGTATTCCTGTACCCAATGGAGACAAGTTGTTTTGGTTTCAGTTGGATGCTTTTAATGCTTCTGACATCTGAAACCCTCCTGTGGGCTGCATGATTGCAACGCTGTAAATACTTCAACTTTGCACATAAATTATATGAAACAGCCTGCTAAATCTGGGAAGCTGTGATCTGCACTTGAAGTTTCCAACAGTTCCATGTGGAGACAAAGTGGTATAAAAGTCTTTTGGCTCTGTAAAAAAAATTCAGCGTCACTTAGGATCTTTTCATTTTAATGTCATTTCCTGCTTCTGTAAGCTGTCAAACCTAATGGCTTTTTAGTATAATGGCATCAGTAATCAACAGGTTAATCTCTGCTGTAAAATCTTGGAGCCAGACTGATGACTGTCAGAGGTGGTGCTACTTGGAATATAGTCTTACAGTTCCTGGCATTTTACAGAAACTCATTTCATTAATTGCTTAAGTTGTGCCCTTATCCGTGGCGACTTACTATGTATATGACATTTACTGTGGGTAAGTACAAAGACCACAAAGGAAAATAAGTTCAACATAACCTGGAAGTGAACTTCTATCTGAAATAGTAAAATATAAAACAGTGAATATATAAAGGAATAATGAAAACAGAATGATGAGGTGTATTCCCTGTTTATGGTAAATACTGTAAGGGGACTTAGCAAATCCATAAGAGAACTTTAGAGAATGTTAGTGCACTATGGTGTGAGAGGGAGAAATGTTTGTTTGTGTAACAGAAAGGACTAAAAAGGCACTTAACAGTCTAACATATCTTAGTAGATTATATTTTTTAAAAATGCAAACGACTACTTTTTTAACAATTAATTTCTCATTTTCAGCTTCTGATGACTAAGTTTTTGTAAACTGTAAACTGTATTTACAAAGTGAGTGATCACAGATGCTGTATGAACACCTGAAAAATAGAGATTGGAATGCTCTAACTCCTGTGGGTCGTTCTTTTCACCACTGAAGATGATGGTGTAGGATAAATGCTCTATGGGAGTGGTTATCAAGTGGTACGCAGAGGGCCCCCAGGTGGTACGCCAGGTGATCCTGGAAATTTGTTGTGTGCACTGAAAAATTGGGAAATAAAAATTGTATAATTAAAAATTATGTAAAATGTTCATCTGTAATTTACTTAATCAGTTTCAGAAAGCTTGAGACGGGTTTTCATATTTTCTATTTTAATAAAATTAGTTTGTGTCAAATACGCAGCCTACGTACTTAGCTACGTTGTTACAGTGGGCGCTTATACTTGAGTGTTCATACTCCTGTTGAGCTTTCAGAGACACAGCTTAGCATCACATTCACCAACAGAACAAGTGATCTAAAATTAATACCTTGCAAAAATCGAGTATTATGTCATGGCTGAAAGGAATAGACGCCAACAGTACTGACACTAGCTCCGATAGGTCATGCACACCTGTTGAGAATGAGGAGGATTATACAGTACATCAGCCACTAGGATTACCATATTTGAACATAAAAAAAGAGGATACCCTGAGAAACGTTCCTTTTGCCTTATCTGGGAAGGGGGTCAGGATGGAGAGGGTTTACAAAATATCCCATGTTATATGTTCATTAATAAAGTAACTGTGATGATGTTTAACTGTGTGAAATGCAAAGACCTCTGCTGCAATAACAGCATCCACTGTTTTGCTGCCAGATTTTACAAAAGAATCTGTTAATTTGGTTGACGAACTCTTTCCTCTAATTGCCTTTTTGTGTTTGTCTGAGTCAACATGAGCTTGCAACATGAGATTGCAAGTCAAGTACACCTTTATTTTTTAATTCTACTGTTAATTTACACTTTTGCTTTGGCATTGTGTTTCAGGGTAGGAAAATGAGAAACAAAATAGGGAGTCTTTCGAGGGAATGCTTCTGCACTGTACAGAGTAAAGACCCTGATGTTGACGGCCGATTTCGCTCTCTCTCATGACATAATCATACACGTACAGGACGAAAACGGAATGACAGTGGGTTGCGAATTGAACTACAGATGTTTAGAAGTTCTCCCTCTTTCTAACCATCTTTCTAACTTTTGCTAATTTTTCTTCATGGTGAAAATAATGGGATTGAAATCCCAGACATATTTCTGGATATTTCAAAATTCCCCCCGGATGGAGATATGAGGATCAAAATAGAAGGCATGGCTGGGAAAATCCAGATGTGTGGTAACCCTATCGTCTACCAACACTAGCTCTTCTGGTGAACCTGACACGACTAGTGTCTACGCTGCTAGTGTTAGTGTAGGAGAAATGGCTACAAGGCGGTACGATCCAGATTAACTAAGTGCTCAGTGCTATTTTTATTATATGTGAGTGTGCATGCTCATGTTGGTCATTGAGATTTTCTGTAGTGAGAAGATGACTTGTAGGAGGTACTTAGATGCTTTGGTTTGATCAGGGATGGTACTTGGTCCAAAACGTTTGAGAACCACTGCTCTATGGAAATAGAAGACCAAAGAGGGGGGGACAGAATGTCTAGAACAGAGAAGTAGAGAGGACGAGAGGGGGTTTAGAGGGAGATGAGAGAAGACGGGCAGGAGCAGTGTGGTTGAGACAATGGTAGATGAGGACAAGGGTTTTGAATTGGATGTAGTCAAAGAATTGGATTGAGAAAAGAGAGAAAGAGAAAAGACAAGGTGAACTTACATGTTTGGATGAGCTGGAATGGAAAGATGGTTATTGGAGAGAGGTCTGCCAAGCAGGAGTTACTGTTGTCTCAGCAGGACAGGACCAGGATGTGTTTTAGAACTGCAAAATAGCTGGTAATGAGCAAACATGTCCTGCAAATGTTGCTTGTGACAAAGCAGTAGGAATATGGCAGTGAAGGAAGGAGTCGAGAGATGCCAAAGTTCCTGGCATTGAAAAAGAGGAAAAAGGTAGCAGGTACAGCATCGAGAGGTCTGTGGAAGAAAAGGAGGTCAGACTTTGAGGTTATGTTAAAGATGGTTAGATTGTATCCAGAAGACAAACAGAAAAATGGGAAAGGGCATGTGTGTCAGTGAGATGGAAATTTGGGATTTGAGCATCACCAGTATTAAATTGACACGAAGAGATAAGAGGACCAAGACAACAGGTTCTCTCATGAATATCAGATCAGTGGGACTGAACATGAATATGTGATCTATGAAAACAATTAACTCTTTTTCCTGTCCATAGTCACCAATAGTACAGGATTACATAGGTGAAAATTAACTTCAGTAACAACCAGAATAGAAAACGGGAGGCACTGCTGGAATCAACTCCCTAGGTGGTTCTGGTGTCCATGGGGATCTTTTAGAAGTGATTTGTGTTCTTGTGTCTAGTTTTCTTTAAGAAAGATCATACATGGCATTCTAGGTTTGTAGGATAATTTGAAAATGTAAGTTTTAAATATTGAAAATGATGTGATTTGAATTGTCCAGGACTGTCTGCATGGTCATTTGCTCTGTAATTGTGATATGCCAAAAAAAAACTGTAACAAAATATACAATACAGTGTCTTTCCATGCAAAGAACTTAAAAATGTCAGTGGTAGTGAAACTGTTGTGTACACTGTACTTTCGTGGTGCTTAGAGTGCCTTTTCAATTAATCTTTTTTTAATTTGTTACACATTATGCAGTATGATTTCAGTATGCTTCCAGTACACAGTCAGTATTTAGTTTAAAGTTTGCTTCTAGTCTTCCTATAGGTTTTAACTTCATATTATATAGTCTGTAGAGGGTAGGGGTGGGGTGTAAATGGTGTCGGTAACTTGTTAATGTATTTTCTACTACAGCAGCATCAGTGCTGTGTGGGGTGGAAGGCTGCCGTGAGGTGAACTGTTGAGTTTACAAGTCAGAAGAGATTAAAAGATCATGTTTCTGCGTTCCAGCTGGAGATCAAGTTCCTTGTGCTTGGACCAGTAGTGAAGTCCGAGTGTCCAAACCAATAGCCCACATGTTGTTCGGAGACGCACAAATGAAGCCTGGTTCATTTTGCAGCCAGATGAAAAAATAAACTGAACATGTGGCAGGGACATGGCTTTTCTTTATTGCCAAACAGTGCCTCTTGTCTTTAGGAAAGAACAATTATTTGCTGCTTTACAATTAGGATTGTAGTTTTGGTATAATCCCTGGGTTTCCCATTTCATACCTCTTATACTGTTGTTTATGCTTTTCATTTGTTTTTTTTATCCTCTTTCAGAAAATGTTCCATCTGAACTCTGGATACTTTCTATAAATCATTAAAGTTTTAAAAGGTGTACTTGTGATTTGGGAACAGTGTCCAAAGATGTTACAGCAGCAGAAAACATTTATTGGCAGCTTTCTAGTTCAACTAGTGCTAGATATAACCAAAGTGTAGTGGCAGGGCAAGTGGAGGACTCTTAATTATCAAAAGGCAAAATAATGTGACTCTGTAAAGATATGACTTGGAACTATGAATCTTGTTTCAAAATTTGCAACAGTTTCACTAAGAACTGGAACAGGACTTAACTTAGTTTAAATGTGTTCAAAATGTAAGTGTGGAACACTGAAGCTTAGTAACACTTAGGTGCTTTTCATTTCTCCCACCTTTCCATACACCTGTCAGGCCTTATTGTTTGGGGGGTTTATCAGTATGGATATTCAGTCCTGTTCTACACAGGAACAAAACCAGCACAGCATTCTGGTGTTACCAGACAACATTCTAGATTTGACTTTTCAGACATGCACAATGTAAGAGGTTTGTTTCCAGTACAATGAGCCTGTGAGCTCGGTGAAGTGCATTGTCTTGTCCCATCTATGGCAATTCTGTTTTTTATCAACAGTTTTCTTTTTGATGTTGGCTATCACATATTAATGGGGAGGAAGAGTTGGTGCACATTCTGAATAGCAGAAAAGCCATTGGTGATGATAATGTCAAATAAGTTCAGATTTTCTTTTGGGTGCTTGAAGATTAATTTAATGTTAGAATTGTCTTTGTGAAAATGTTATATTTACACATGTTCCACATGTTCTCTAATGTCAGCTTGCTTAATAAAACAATTCAGTGATATATTTTTTTTCAAAACACTGAGTTAAGTGTGCATTTAGACTATGCTTTTCCCTTTTATAACACTAGTAAAAGTGTGTTGCAAGATTTAAAATATTGTATGGTCCACAGCTTGTTCCAATTGTTTGCTGTAGATCTAATAACTGGTTTTGAAAGCATTCGGCACAGAAACTCTATTTTCCTTGTAATATGTTGCTGCTTAAAGTAAATTTTGCAGTTTCATAATTCTGCCGAACTTCCTTAGTCTACGGAGAAAGAATGGGCACTGCCGTGCTGTCTTGGCTACGAGGTTGGTGTGGTGGGTACAGGTTAGATTGTCTGTGATGTTGACACCTAGGAATTTGAAACTGTTGACTCTCTCCACTGCGGACCCGCTGATGTGAATGGGTGCGTGGTCTGTTCCTGTAGTCCACGATCAACTCCTTAGTTTTGCTGGTGTTCAGAGAGAGGCTGTTGTCCTGACACCATGCTGTCAGCGTCTACCTCCTCCCTGTATGTGGACTCATCACCGTTTGTGATCAAGCCGATGATCATTGTATAGTCTGCAAACTTGATGATTGAGTTTGTTTTGTTCCTGGCGACAGTCGTGGGTGAATAGGGAGTACAGGAGAGGGCTGAGTACACAGCCCTGCAGGGGACCGATGTTCAGAGTCAGGGTGGAGGATGTATTTGTGCTTACTCTCTCCACCTGCGGTCGGCATATCAAAAAGTCCAGGATCCAATTGCAGAGAGGGGAGCTTAGTCCACGGTCTTGGAGCTTGGTGATAAGCCTTGAGGGTATGATGGTGTTGAATGCTGAGCTGTAATCAACAAACAATATTCTCACATACAGTATGTTTCTTTCTTGTCTTGGTGTGAGAGGGTAGTGTGTAGAGCAGTGGTGATGGCATTCTCAGTTGATCTGTTTTCTCGGTATGAAAATTGCATTGGGTCTAAGGTGTCAGGCAGTAAGGAGGTGATGTGTTCTTTGATCAGCTGCTTGAAGCATTTCATGATGAATGTTAGTGCAATGCGGCAGAAGTCATTTAGGAAGTTGACTCTGGTTTACTTGGGGATCGGGACGATGGTGGTTTTCTTGAAGCAAGAGGGACCTTGCGTGAATTAGTCTTTTTAAAGACTTTGTACACATCAGCTCTGGAGACAGACAGTGGGTGTTCCCCCTGGTGAGTGTCCTGGTCGTCATAATAGTGTGATTCCAGTTTTACCCTGTAGTTATATTTGCTTTTTTTTATAGCTTTCTGAGATCAGATCTGGATTTTCTGTACATGTCCTTATCTCCAGAGTTTAAGGCAGGTGTTCTAGCTCCGAGTTTAGCTCTTACTTAACCATTTACCCACAGTTTTTGATTTGGGTATGTGCAAGTAATCATGGGGACCACATCTTCTTTATAACTAGTAGCATAGTCCGCATATAGATTAATGTCGTTCCCAGCAGTCAGTGGTGGCAGAGCAGTGATTTAGAATAGAGTCCGATTATTCTGACTGGTGCTGGTTGGTCCTTGTTGCAGACTTCTCCTGCTTGAGTTTCTGCCTATAGGCAGGGAGTAGCAGGATGGAGGTGTGATCGGATTTGCCAAAAGGACGGGGGAGGGCTTTGTAGCTATCCCGGAAGGGAGTGTAAACATTGTTCAACATGTTTGTTCCACGCGTCGGCAGTTTATATGCTGATGCAGGTTTGGCACGATTTTCTTCAGGTTTGTGCTATTGAAGTCCCCCACTGCGATGAATGCACCTTCAGGGTATGAGTTTTCATGTCTGCTTAGGTGTTCGTGTAGTTCCTCCGGAGCTCTTGTGGTGTTTGCCTGCGGTGGAATATACACCGCTGTGAGGATCACCAATGTAAATTCCCTTGGTAGATAGAACAGGTGACATTTTATTGTCAGCTGTTCAAGTTGTGGAGATCATGATGATGAAATAGTCTCCACAGCTGTACACCAGGAGTTATTAACCATGATGCACACCCCTCTGCCCCTGATCTTCCCCGAGTCCATTGTCCTGTCCTGACGATGGACAGAAAAATCTCTCGGGAGGATAGCGGTGTCCTGAATAGCTGAGTCAAACCAGTTTTGGTAAACACTAGCACATGGCAGTTTTTAATGTCCATTTAGAAAGCAAGCCTTGCTCTCAACTTGTCCAACTTGTTGTCAAGTGATTGAACATTAGCGAGCAGTATGCTCAGAAGTGGAGGGTGATTGCTGCATTGTCTAACCAAGACACCTGCCTGCTTACCTCTCTTCCTGCGCCGTTGCCGCTTTCCTCCAGGAAAAGGTACAGATAAGACTCCATGATCTGTGGGTGGGGGCATTGTCATCCTGGAAAACACCTCTCCCGGCAGGAAAGAAATGCTGCAACATAGGATGAAGATTGTTCAGAACAACTGAGTAGCAATTAGCATGAGGGGTTAAGGGAATTAACCCATACCAGGCCAGAAAAAAATTATACTGAAATCAAGGATGTGGAACACTGTGTCCCTCATTTACCAAGGACTATCCATTTCCTTTGTGTCCACTACTTTTATGTATGTGCACTGGAAAGATTGTGAACAATTACTATACTTGCACGAACAAAATTGAGATGTTGTGACCTACAGTATAATAAGTAAATTAAAGCTCTGCTTATATATTATCTTTTGTATCTTTATGTATATTATATTTTCTTAAAGGCTTCTTGGAAATCCTGCTCTAACTGTAAGCCTGGAAATACATTTTTGAAATGCATTACATCTTTTAGAGGATAAATAATATATTCAAATCTATTCCTTTTTTCTGTAGCTGACCAGAAGCAAATATTGAGAACATAGTTTAGATAGAATCAAGATGATTAAAGTCCCTAAGCCTCTGTATGACATACTGTACGTACAGGTAGTTCTTCATTTTATGTTTATACAGTTCAAGAAATCTTAAATCTAAGAAGGCCAGATGGAGTCAAATTTTCATGCAGGTTTTGCCCCACAATACTATAGTTTGTTTCTCTTTTATTCTGAGGCACAAAGAGGAATACATTTCTAGGCATTGTCTGTCAACAATACAAATCATGTTTCCCTTACAGTTCAGGTATTTATTTTTCTTTCACTTTTTTATTATGTTTATATTTCTCACAGACAGAGCAGAACTCTGAAAAAAGGCAATTTTCAGCAGCTCTCTACAGTAGATATTCCTCTTCTAGAGTAACAGATAAATACAGGTGAGGAATAAAAATAGCACTTAGTCTCCCTATAACCAACCAGGAGACACAATTAAAATTGACAAGATACTAGACATACATGCATAACATACAAATTCATGATTAAGGCTTGCAAACCTCCTATTATGGAATGTCAAGTTTGATCATTCAGTTGGTATGTTTGGAGGCTGTACTAAATCATCTCTGGACTTAATCTAGGTATTCAAAGTCAGCAGTTTATAACATGGCAAGAAGTTACAGCCAAATGCAGTCTGTCAGTGACAGACTTAAATCTGGTAGACCAAAGTAATGACACCTAGACAAGACTGAAACATCATCATATAGTTTAGCAGTGCAGATTAAAAGGGGAACTGCAGTTGCAAATCTGGGTTATTAAATCTTGGTAACAAAATAAATTAATTGACAGTATAGTGAACTTTATGAACTTTTGTGAAAGTACTGTAAGTCGCCATGTTGTCACGAACCCCTGGTCTCACCACAGATGAGAGTGCGAGTTCAGTTAGACTTGACAGCAGTGGATCACTTCCTCTTTAATGCCAAGTCAAGTTTTTGTGTAGACCAGGCTGGAGGCCAGGGAGTTTTGTGCAGTAAGTGATTGTTCATTTTTTGTGTACAACAGATCAGTCAACCGGAAGGTGCTAGTGTGTCGTCTAGGGAGGGAATTTGACAATTTCAGTGTGTGAGTGACCTCACTTGCTGCCCTTTGTGTGGGCTAATCCTCACCAGACAACACACATCTAACACACATCCTTGTATTGCTCATGAAATAATGGCTTTCTTGAGCAATGAGAATGTGATGCTGTGGATAATCTACCCTTCAGACTTGAAGGCATTGGCATAACATTTGGCATCTTGGCCTCATAGACAAGTGAATAGACAACAGCTTGTCTCTGCTCTACTAGAAGAATGCGACAGGTCCCCAAGATAGTATTAGCAATGTACTATGAAGAATGTGGTGCCAAACTACAGGTGTATTTATTGGATTGTTGGCACACATGCTACCTGCCTTTGAATTTCATAGCAGACACTCTCTTGATCAACCTTGTTAATTAAAAACATTAATTCTCACAGTTCGCCTATATACTGTATTTTCTGTTTAATTAAATGTCAGTGCATGTGCTACAAACATGATTATCTTTTTTCTGATAACTGTCTGCATTTGTTTTAGTTGTAATTGTTAAGTTTTTTTGATGCTCAGGATAATTATCTATGGCTATTCCAGGACACTGCTGACGTAGCTGTATCTCAGACACAACAGAAAACATATCTTATTTGTGAAATAAAATCTATGTTAAACCTTATTCTATTGGAGTTTAAGTTTTACATTTTTGGAAAGGGTATTCTGCATGCACGGTACATAGACAATAATTGTAGTTTAATTGTAGTAAGGTGGCACATCACAGTTTTCCCTCACTTATTTAATAAAATTGTGATTTCTTCCTCAGCTGGTAATTTAACTTTATGAACCCCTTTTCACAATGAGGAAGCTATGTGTTATATACCATTACAGGTACCATATTTTATTGTTATACCCCCAGGACTCGGGTTTGGCTGTTTCATTCCAGTTAAAGAGTAATTTAGAAAGTGTAACTGAAGAATACTTCTCAGATGCTGGGATTAACTGGAGTATTCATTTATTACTTTCATAAAATGAGGAAGAAAAGGAGTTGCTCCTCTGATTGTCAAAATCCATTTTTTCACTTAATTGTGATGGAGTTATAAACAGTTTATTTTGTTTCTCTTTGGACACTTTAAGCAAGCTGTAAGTAAAACTCTGGCCTTTAAAATGCATTGCCAGTTTCAAGGGTTTCTATAGATTTTTGACAAACCACATTGCATGCAGGCTGATACATCGATCTGAGCTAGTATAACTTAAATCTCTGAATGCTTTCAACTTGCTTTAAGAAGAAGAGTGATGGAGAAAAATATGCAGCAGACTGTGTCTCTGCACAGTGAAATGGTGCTCTTACCTATGCGTGTGATGGGGCAGGGTGTCCTGCGGGCTCTGGCGTCTTGTTGCGTTCTGGGGGGCCAGGCTACTGCCGCTGGGGAGAGGTGTTTTCCCAAGCAGCCCGAGCCGTGGGTGGTGCTGCTATTAATACTCCTGCCTCAGCTGCTGCCTGCTGAAATGCGTGCAGAGGGAGCTAGCAATATTCCAGAATTACACAGCGCTGGGAAAGGCACAAGCTACCCTTCCTACTGTCTTGAGCTCATAAATCGTTCATGCTTGCCCCAATTACTGAGTGATGGAGGGAGTGCATGGCAGGTCTTTTCCTTTATAGCCAAGCCCTGTTTTTTTCTTAAATGTTCTAGAAATTAGAGTTTACTGTGTAAGTTCAGGATATGTTCCAGAAGCAGCAGAGAGTCTCTCTTGGACAAATGGGAATATGCTTGGATACAGAGGGGAGTGCTTCCAGTGGCCCTGCATGGCAAATCAATCCCATCACGTTTCTTAATTAACTGAAGAGACCATAGTCATTTTTTTCTCTTTTATGTGACCTTGTAATGCTATCTGTGTTTATTTACACCTGCTTTGTTTCAATAGTGAGTTACTTGCAACAGAAATGGGAGTGATCTCAATGTCCAATTCCCATAGATGGAGAGTCAGATTATCCTCTGCTGGTCAGTCTTCTTCTATTGCAATAAAAGAGCCTTCATAGCAGAGTCTGCCACCTGCTCTTAAAGAAGCACAAAAAATATTTTATAGTGTTTCTATTGTATGGGAGCTGCAGACATCTTTACTGTGTACACTGTGAAGCCACTTTCAGAGACTATTTTGCATGGAATGTTAGAAATAACATTCATTATATACTGGAAATGCTCTGAATGACAGGCCATCTTATAATGAACATTTTGTGAACATTTGTGTCCTGTGCTTTTTGTGATGGAATAACCCAAAACTATACTTGTGGACTTCTGTAATGGATTTGAATTAATTAAAAGAAAAAGGGAGCACAGACCCTCCTGGCCCTTAGTGACGTGTATGTGTAGGATTGAGTCTGGCAGTGCAGTGAAGCTCTCTTTTTGTTGGTTGTTTGTGTAAAGTGGAGACCTACTTATTAATTAGCTCTAAAAATCTTCAACATTATCACCTGACACTACAGGGCTGCGAAGAACCAAGGACTAAATAAATATGTGGACAATTAATTCGAACCTCAGCCTGAGTTCCAAAGTGGCCTAAAAAGAGAGTTACGAATATGGGAAGAGGAGTTTCAGGGCAAGAGATGGGAGGAGGGGTCAGTTAGTTGGAGCGAAACTGGCATTTATATATAGCTGTATGTCTGTGCTGTCCGTTTTGCTGTCCTATCAGGTTACATCTTCACAGAGAGTATAATTCAGCCAGCAAGAAAAAGAGTAATGTGTCCTCCTTTTCCTCTCTCTCCTCTTTCAGTCAAGACTCTTCTTTTCCTTCAACTCCAATGTTTTTTGTTTTGGATTAACCAGGACTAAAGCCCTCCTATCTGGCTTTTTTAAAGTATTGAAAGACTAGGCTTCTTTTATCATTTCCAACAGCAGTACCCCCAGCGCTTGTGGAGACTAAAGGCTGCTTTTCTTTTCTGAAATTGTAACCTATGGGGATATTTAGCGTTAAATAAAGGAAGGGATTCATTTCAGAAGTGCTGTGCAGTGGCTTCATTCCTCAGTGCAGACCTCGTTTCAGACGACGCAGATCCCCTTGAAGCTGTGGGAATCATGGATATGAACTCGCTGGCGTTGGAGGCTAGCCTGGTACCTAAGAAGGCTGCCAACGGGACTCCACCAGCCCTGCCTATCAAACGTCCACCCAAGCCTGCCAAAAAGACTAAAAAAGCTGTTGTTTTCTTTGAGGTGGAGATCTTGGATGCCAAGACCAAGGAGAAGCTATGCTTCCTGGACAAGGTAAGAGCAATTTCCCGGCATTCTTTAATTTCACACTATAAACAGGTTAAACAAACTCAGTGACCACAAACACCTAATTGCTTGTGTTGAGAAGGAGAACTGTTTGCATTTTAAGTTTGTAGTTAAATGTATTACTGGTAAATCTCTTTAATAAATGCTAGCTTATCTACCAAGTGGATAATTTGTTGTAAGTTTTTATTGATAACAGACTTGCCTTTTTTTACTTGCTGGCAAACTGAACTTGACCCTTTAACTTCAAAAATTATTCTGTGAGACTTACTAGGTTGCTAGATGTCAGTGTGATCCTACAGAAAAGCTGCATGGAATGAAACATTGTTTCTGTGTGCTGACAGTCCTTTGAGACAGTTTCTCTGTTTAAATTCTAAAAGAGGCAAAAGAAATTGGAGGCATCTTGTAAATTAAGTAAATATATTAACTTCATGTACTGTACTGGTAATGATATTCTGGTTTAACGTCTTGATTGTCCTTGATAGATTCTCTTTGTTAAGCAGAATATATCTTGTTTTTAGAGAATGTGCAGATTGTTGAGCCTGAGAAGTGCAGATACACCCATCATCCTTTGTATAATGAAAAACTTCCTCATTTATATCCGAGATTCATCCTGTCTCAGATCCCTACTTTATTAATTTGTGAATTAGGTCTCTAGATTAACACTGTCAGTGTTATTCAGGGTCTTTAATACTTGTCTGTTTTCCTTATAATCTTCTTTATTCAAAACTGAAGACATTTAGTTTGTCTATGTGTGTGACTTACCTTCAGACCAGGAATTAATCTTGTCATCTGTGAGCCCTTCCTAGACTCCAGATCACTGGTTTCAGAGTCTGTAGTATATTGCACCATGCGCTAACCATAATAGCAGTCTCTTGTCAGCTGTAAAATACTTGTTTCCATTTTTTTATTTTTTTAATCCCCCCCAATTTCTGGACCTACTCCTGTGTGTACAGTATGTCAGCAGTGGACATTCAATGAAGATGAGTGCCCTTGAAATCCCATAGCAAATCTGATTTTGAACTACACTGCAGCATCTTTAGAAACTTACCACAAAACTTTTTCACTGCAACAAAAAAATAAATTTGTTACCTTTTATATCGATGTAATTAATTTTAATTAATTTTCTGAATCAAAGTGAGGAAAAAATGTTTCCAATCCCATCCATTTTCTTAAAACTTTTTTCAGTTCAGGGTCATAGGGAAGCTGGAGAATAGGCTGGCAAACAGCAGGCATAAGGCAGAGTACATTCTGGGTGGAATACCAGTACATCACAGGGCAGACACAGATATGCACACACTTGCACATAGAGACTATTTTTCCAGAAGCCAGTTAACCTACCAGTGTGTTTTTGACTGTGAGAGGAAACCGGAGCAAAACATGAACATGCGAACATGGGGAGTACATACAAACTCCAGGCAGATACTCATCATTCTCCACCAAAAAACGAGGCGTGGTTATTCTCATTCATAAGAATCTCCCATTTACAGTCAACTCAACTTATGTGGATAATGAAGGTAGAGTGGTAATAGTTAAAGGATTACTATATGGGGAAGAAGTGGTGATAGGATGTATATATGCCCCTGATGAACAATTCTTTATTGATGTGTTTGGACAATTCACTATTATGGATTGTAACAATATTATCCTTGCAGGAGACTTTATTTTTTCCTTCTGTCCTAGGTTAGATAAGATGCCATCTGCTAATGTACCATCATCTAAAATGTACAAGGAAGTGACAGATTTATGCAGCGAAATAGGTGTTATTGATATATGGAGATTCTTCAACCCAACTGCTAGGGGTTTCACCTTTTACTCCTCACCACATCAAACAGCTTCTCGTATTTACCACGTCCTGCTATCCAGCCATATGGCCCATCTAGTAACAGATATAGGTATTGATCCAATTACAATATCAGATCATGCTGCTGTGACAATGAGTGGAGCGCTCTCTTGTATGGAGACTAAATCCATTTAATCTGCTGGATGATGAATTCAGAAAGTTCCTCAATGAACAAACAAAGCTATATTAACAGTGCAATGACATTGAAGAAACTGATCCTAGGGCAGTATGGGAGGCTTATAAAGCTTACATGAGAGGTATGATAATTTCTTATACCAGTAAAAAGAAAAAGAAATGAATCTCTTTGCAATTAGCACTCAAAATCAAAATTGGAAGAAGAGTTTTACACTGCTTAATCTGAGAAAATTCTAATTGAAATTAAAGAAGCTGGGTCACAACTTAATAACCTAGTGACAAAAAAAGCTGAAAGAGATGTTCTATATGCAAGACAGCATCTATTTGAAAAGGGCAATAAACCAAACCGCCTCCTTTCAAGATTGGCAAGGATGGCACCATCCAAAAATTTCATTTCTGCCATTAAAGATGAGAATGGCCAGCAAACACTGGAAATAAGAAAATAAATGGCATTTTTAAGAATTTGTTTGAGAAGCTATATACTGTGCTCTTTAGGAGAGCACTTTTTTAAAAGGCATAGACATTCCTCAAATCAGTGATACACAGGAGGAACTTCTAAATAAACCTATCTCCAGTAAAGAGATTAAAACAGCTATCATATCACTACAGTCAGGAAAGACACCAGGACCGGATGGCTACCCTGTAGACTTTTTTTAAATATTGAAGAATCATATCTGTAACATTTATCTCAAGGCCATCAATAAATCTATTAAAGAATCTTCCCTACCAGAATGTATGAATATTGCCAACATAACAATTATTCACAAAAAAGGAAAAGATCCTGAACTATGTAGCTCATATAGACCCATAAGTTTACTAAATGTTGATATAAAAGTGATAGCTAAAATACTGGCAACACGCTTAGAGAGAATAATGACAAGCATTATTGACCCAGACCAGACAGGGTTTATTAAAGGAAGAAACTCATTTAATACCAGGAGATTGTTTAACATAATGCACCATCTTGACCAGCTACAGGTTTCAAGCCTCCTTGTGTCGACGGATGCTGAGAAAGCCTTTGATAGAGTGGAGTGGGAATATATGTTTGATGTTATGAGGACATTTCTTCACCTAAGTTATTATATAGTGCACTTAAAGCCACAATACAAACTAACGGTTTCATCTCCCCCCCCCCCCATTCAGGCTGCACAGGGGCACACGGCAAGTTTGATGATGTTATAATGACAGTAACAGACCCTATTCACTCCCTACCTGAAATTATTGCTGGTATAAAAATGTTCTCAACCATATCAGGCTATAAGGTCAATTTCAGTAAATCTGAGATTATGCCTTTAGGGAACATGGGAAAAGGAGAAACATCTATTAAACCATTTCACTGGAATCCTAAGGGTATCACATACCTTGGGACATCCTGAAAATATAAGACCTCTCCTGATACACTTAAAGGATAACATGAACCGGTGGACAAATTTACCAATATCTTTCCTGGGCAGAATTAATCTGGTAAAGATGATAAAATTGCCTAAACTTCTCTATCCTCTATCTATGATATTCGCTCCCATGACTAAAGCTGACATAAAGGATCTGAATAAAGGAATATCAACATGTATGGATAGGAAAAAAAACAAAAATAAAATATAAGACTTTGCAGTTACCCAGGGATTACGGTGGATGTGCATTGCCAGATCTGAAATACTATACCTGGGCAATACAAGCAAGAATCCTCCAGCAGTGGATTCATGCACCACCAGACTCTACCTGGGTGGATATGGAGGCTGGACATGGTAAACCAGCCTCTCTTGTAAACCTCTTAGGCAGGAAAATGACTAATGTACCCCCACTAGCTAAAAAGAAGCCTTTAATAATAAATGTACTGAGAACATGGAGCAAGGTAACTAAATTCTTTAGTTATTATCCCTCTCTTTATATGCTATTTTCACTTGTGGGTAACCGGACCTACCTCCTGAAAAGACATGCTCCCACTTTACTAATTGGCAAACAGCAGGTATACATAGAATTTTTGACTTATTTGAAGGGGGTGTATTTAAATCATTTGAGTGTGTTCAAGCACAATATAATATACATGAAAAGAAATTAAATTAAATATCTTCAGATCAGGCACCATGTGAGTACCAAGAATTGTGGTCTTGATTTATTCAGCAGCTCGCACACTATAGAAAAAATCTTTCTAAAGAATGGGAACTCAAAGAAATTTCTATCCACGTTTTACACTTTCTTGTCTAGACTTCCAAAAATCTTTACAGACAACCTGGAGCCAGGAACTGAGGTCCTGTATAGATGATAACACTTGGAAAACTATTCTTTCATTGCCTTCAACAATCTCTGTCTGTAACCGGTATAAAGAAATGCAGTACAGTTTGTTACATAGAGCATATACTGTATCTCCACAGATCTATAACAAAATTTAGCACAGGCACATCACCTAACCTGTGGGAATGTACATATGTCCAGAGGTTTTGGTGGGAGGTATGTAAAAAAATATCTTTGATCTGTGTAATACAGTTAGATCCTCATCCTCTCACGTGCATCTTGGGAGTCTTGCCTGTTCAGCTGCTGAACCATAGGGAAGTAGTCCAGTCTGTTATGATGCTGGCAAGAAAGGCAATCATGATCAGGTGGGTGGGTGACGAGCCTCCCTCCGTAGCTCTCTGGGAATTACTAATAAGAAACTTGATCTCTTTGGAAAAGTTAAGATTCATCCTAAAAGATGAGCTGGACCGTTTTAAAGATTTGTGGGATAAGCCTTTGAGAGCATGAGGTTTGAAAGGGTAGCTCAGTACTTACTCCTAAGCCGTTATATATAACTATGCTATAACCTTTATGCATTTAAATGGTAAACTCTGATATAGCTGCGACTGTACCTGTTTTTGTTTATTTTTTTTCACTCTTTTTTTTTCTTAATTCATTGTTAAAAAAATGTAAAGTTTTATATTACTTTAAGTTAATTTGTCTCAGTTCTTAAGCTTGACTGAAATTTGAGGATGGAACACAAAAAGTTGTATTATTGTAAGTAATTACAGTATATATGTGC